TCCGCCCACCCCCCCCCCCCAGCCACAACCAGTCCCTGGAAAGACTCCCTCAGGCGTCAGTGGTTGGCGCGGGCCCTCCGTGGGGTTGGCTCACCGGGCCCCAGTGGGCTGCATGGGCGTTACCTGCAAACATAGTTCTCCTGGCAGGCGTCCAGGGGGGAAAGGCAGTTGGGCTTCTCCTTGGACTCGTAGGAGCAGGCGGGGACAATGGTCTGTCGGCGGCGCTCGGCGCAGGCCGTGTCGTCGCAGGGGCAGAAGAGCAGCTCGTGCGTGGCAGGGCCTTGTGGCACTTGGAGCGGTTGCAGGCGTCGGCCCGGGCCTGGCGCCGGATGCAGAAGGACACATACTCCGTCTTCAGCTTCTGGCACATCTCGTCCACGTTGCAGGCCTTGGCGGCGTCCAGGCAGCGGTTCACCTGCGTCACCTCGTTCTCGGATCCTGCAAGACCAAGAGACATGCCCCGCCCCTAAGCACAGCTGAGCATGGAGAGTAAGACTAGGAGTGAAGAAAATATCACCTCCCCAATTGTGCCGAGACCCCCTCATCCCCGCAGAGGCTGCAGAACAGCTCCAGCGGGGAAGGAGCAACTCTGACTAGGGAAGCAGGGCTGTTGGCAGAGAGGAGATGGGTGAGGAAATGCCAGTGAAGCAGTAGATGGGGGATAGACTGCTGGCTAACCCACACTTGGTAGTGCCAGGCAATGGACGCTCAATTTTTTCCCCACCCACACGTGGAATAAATTTTGTTGCGTGCACCGAGTCATGGGCAGATGTGCACCACCAATAGAAACACATGTTGCCAGTTGTGGGTGCTGTCTAATCAGCAGGGTGGCACCTGAATCTCATGGGTGGACCTCCCAAGTGCTCAGCTTACAGGGAACACTGGTGCCAGGCCTCCTGCTGGCTGTCCTTGCCAGGTGAGTTCCAGCTCTCTTCCAGTTAGTTCTGCTTGTTATTCCTGCCTTGGAGGTGCCAGATTCCTGCTCTCTCTGGCTATTCCATACCTGGCAAAGCCAGCTCCCATGCCCCTGCTGGCAGTACCTTTCCTGGCACTGCCAGCTCTGCCTACTGGTGTAACATGTCATGACTACACACACATGCCAGGCTTCTGCAGAATCCCAAACGTGATGCCAAAGACAGCTCGGGAAACACTCGGCTCCCCTGGAGCAGTGTTCCCTGTCAGCTGGGCACCTGTGCAGTCGCTTAGGAGAAATTCAAATGCCACCCAGGTGATTAGCAGAGTGTCAACAGCTGCGTTTTGTTTCGGTAGGTGGTGCACATTCACACATGCTTTGGTGCACATACATTGTTTCGGCAGGTGGTGCACATTCACACATGCTTCGGTGCACATACAATTTATTCCACACATGGACAGGAAAAAAAATCGAATCTAAAAGATGAGAGAGAACACTGCTGTGGAGCGCCACAAATCTAAAACTTTGCCCTGTTCTCAACGCATTTGGCAGACATGAAGTAAGCCTCCCAGCTCGCCTGCCCCCCAGCTCAGAATTACAGTCTCACTGTACTCAGTGCTATTTAGCCAAGTTACCACATATCTGAGCACCTTCCTATCATTCATATATTGTTCTTCCCCACACTCCAGTAAGCCAAGGCATGGCTATTATTCCCATTGTACAGATGAGAAACTGAGGCATGGAACCTGTGACTTGTGTTACTTGCAGACATAGTGAATTGTGGCAGAGCAGAAAATTGTGCCCATATCTCCTGAGTTCGAAGCTAGAGTCCTCACCACTCAACCATCCTGCCTCTCCCACAGGCTGTGACACACACACCATGAAAGACAGCCCATGCCCAAGGCCCTCAGAATCTAAACAGGCTCAGGATGAAACAGGGGCCTAGAAAGGGGCGGGAGAGATGAGAGTGATTGACAGGGCCGGATTAACTCTTCTGAGGGCCGTGGGCTATTAGATTTTGGGGGGTTCCTCGGCTCCGGAAGGGGCCAAAAATGAGGGGTTCAGTGTGTGTGAGGGGGCTGAGGCAGGAAGGTGGGTGTGGGAGTGGGTGACGTCTCTGACTAGACTCTGGGACGTGGTGATTTCACTCATTTCAATTAGGATTTGCCCTCTTCTGAGGCCTTAACGGGGTTTGCACAAGGCTCTCTGCCAGCGTGTGCGCGCAAGCCTAGTTTCCAACATGGGGAGAGGGCCTTCCGAGGTCCAAACTACCACCACGGAACAGCTGGAGGGCTGTGAATGCAACAGGGCCCTCTTTGTCCAGGAGCTACGGAGAGGAGGAAGGTGAATGGCTGCAGAAGCCAACGTTCAAGAGGAAGTCACTGGAGGATGTTCTCCAGAAATGGCGGATTTGGAGGACTGAAGCTGCCATCTTTGCAGGTAACAAGAATGGAAATAACAAATACTATTCCCCCAGCCCAAGATCTGTCTTTGAGAGAAACGTCAGAGAAAATCTGATGCCTTTCAGACCTCAACATCATTTCTACCAGGAAACGCAGAGTCAACTCTGCTCACTTTTGAAAGGGTAACTCCATTGACCTCAGCAAAACTACCCTTGATGGACACGAGGGCAGTTTTGGCCCACAATATTTAACTCGAATTAAAAGTTTAATATTGAGTTATGGGGTTGAGATTTTAAATTTCTTGTTTGGGTGGCAGCCCCTGATGCTGCGGATATACTCTAGCGCAGAACTGTTTAATAACACAGAGATGAATATTGTTGTGCTGAAAGCACAAGCAGACTCTCAAACATAGAGAGGTCTCCGTGATTAGCAATCGGGATAGAAGAGTGTGCAAAGTGACTCCAATGAAGTAAAAAGCACAAGCAGACTCTCAAGCATAGAGAGGTCTCCGTGATTAGCAATCGGGATAGAAGAGTGTGCAAAGTGACTCCAATGAAGTAAGTCGGCACCTACACAAAGTCACAGAGAATGCTTCAAATAACTAACACTGTGGTTACGTGAGAGTAACACTATCTTAGGAGATCGACATAGTGGAAACCGATCTCCCGGGAGTCGATTTAGCAGGTCTAGTAAGGACTCGGTAAATCGACCACTGATCACACTCCCATCAACTCTGGTACTCCATTGGGTCGCGAGGAGTAAGGGGAGTCGATGGGAGAGTTTCTCCCATCAACCTCCCACAGTGCGGATGCCGTGGAAAGTTGAGCTAAGATACATTGACTCCAACTACGCTATTCAAGGAGCTGGGCTTGTGTACCTTAGTATGACTTTGCCCCGCCCCCCAGTGTAGATCTGTCCTTAGAAAGGAAAGGAGAGACCTTGAAAACCAGATAAAATCACATAAACTGCAAATATTCGGGATCGGTGAGGAGAAAAGACTAACCACATCTTTCTGATTTTGCCGTTAAACTACTTGACTCAAGCATGGAAGATGATTCCTTTCACACAGGAGAATCCCTGCTAAGAGTGGCCAGGCAATTCATCTGAGACTTCACTAATCTCCTTATCTGATCAAAGATAAAGCGAGATTCCTTCTGGCTGCAAAGAAAAAGAATGTGAAGACAAACTTTTTAATCTCTGCCAACTTGCAACTTGAAGCAGGAGGGACTTTATGCTGATTAGAGAAGATTTGATGGAGAAAGAAGCCATGTCGGTGGCTAAATTTAGGATGCACATCAAGACAGAAAAGATCTTTGGTGAGTCATTGAAAAATAGCAAAGAGGTCAATTTCAGTCTTGCTGTGAAAAGTTTAACATTGAGTTATGGGGTTGAGTTTTTAAATTTCTTTTTTGGGTGGCAGCCCCTGTTGCTGCGGATATACTCTAGCGCAGAACTGTTTAATAACACAGAGATGAATATCGTTGTGCCGTTTTACATGAACTGCAGGTTGGGGGCGGGTAGTAAACTGCTGGTAGAAATGGCTTCATTATCCTTGCTGTCTGAGTCTCACTTTGAATAGGCTAGATTTCTCCTCCACCCAAAGAGCAACATAGGACACACTTTTTAAACCACTACTGGAGTAGTTCGATGCAATTCCATTTGTATATTTTTAATGGCCATACTACATTGTTCATGTAAAATTTGATGAAAAGTATCTGTTGATATGACTTCGCCCGGAGGTATTGTGATAATATATGCGTCGACCTCTCCCA